CCCGGCCCCGCCCCAGCCCCCGCACCCACGGCTTGCGGCAGTGCGCTGCTGTCAGGAGCCACTTGGGGGCGATGAGGGTTGCCCCGCAGAGTAATCTGGTCTTCTGGAACAGGGCCACCTGCCAGGGCTGGGAATGAGGAGGGCATTCATACCCCTTGATGATCCTGGTCTCTCCCCCTACATGCCCTGGAGTGGGTAGGGGGGTAAAAGAGGGGCTCAGGCATGAGAGGAGATAGCACAGGAGCTCTCTAAGAAAGGACAATGGCGAGGAGAGAGAGAGAGTCCGGTGGTCTGACCCTCAGACCCACTATGAAGCCTTCTCATACAAGGAGCTCATTACGTGGTTGAAACAGTTCCAAACGGGTTGACCAGCACTCACCAGCTTGAGCTCTTTCTAAGTGTCCCCCACTCTACTCCCACTTTCCTGGACCCCTTCCCTAGGATCTTCCTAGCCTTCTGCTCATTCTGGCATCTAAAAGGATTACGCCAGAAGCAGCCAGCATGGGATGGATCTAGAACCTCATTACGCCTGTTTCTGCTCGGATGCACTACGTTCTGTATCTTAAGCACCAGCCCTGTCTATTGGCCAAGAATAGAGGATTCGGGGGGGGGGGATCCCAGAGAGCCCAGAGAGAAGTCCCTGCCCTTCCCCATCTCTCAACATACCTGTCGCCAGAGCAAGTATGATTAATCGCAGAATCGTCATGGCCTGGAGTGAGGAAGGACCGGCCCCAGGTTCTTCTGGGAACGAGGAGGGACACAGGTACAAAATCATTTTCCTAGGAGATTGGGGGACTGGTTCATGGCCTCTTCTTTCTCCCTCACTTCCTGGAGCTCTTTGTCCTCCTCGGAGCAAGAGGACTTAACAAGCCCTGAGGTTTTCCCAGCACCTCAGCCTCTGAAAGCCTTCCAGTCGGATATGGAGAGAGAGGCCTTGGAAGGGGCCTGAACTCAATTAGAAGCTTCCGGTATGCCAAGGAGGATGTGGAAGCTGTTGGGAGAGGCTCTGTTTGGGGTAAGCAGTGGGCTGGCCCTATTGTAAGTCAGTCACGGGATGTCTGTCCAGACACAACACAGGTTAGAGAATGACTTTCAGGTTGCCCACCTGAGACATGACCCAGGGGTTGAAGTTGGAGGACTGAAGTGGACCAGGCTCCCTGTGGGTACCCATCCAATTTTCCTTGTGCCAATCACAGGGTGATAAGATAATTTAAAGCCTGCCCAGGGTGGAGGGAGTAGGGACTCGCCCTCCAAGCACATCTTCACTACCACCCCCCTTTTCTTTGCTTAACAACCCTTTTCCTTTGAAGGAAGGCTGGACAGAGCTGGGCGGAGCTGGTCAAGGGGAGGGCCAGTGCCCTCAGCTGCCCTAGCCAGCGGGGGTGGGGGGTGGAGGGTTGGGTCCAGCAGGGGTCACCGAGGTTGGGGCAGCTGGTCGGGGGTGAGGGACGCAGAGAGAGGCAACCATCTCCCACCTAAGCTGAGCTAGCAGGTCCCAAGGGGAGGGAGCGAGGAAGGAAAGGGGTGTGGAGGCAGAGGTAAAGGCGCGCTTGGGGCCAGCAGGCGCCTGGAAGGGATGAGGGGGAGGGCTTCCTTTCCCATCCCTCGGGGACTCACGGGCTCTGGGGCTGAGGCTCTGGGGGGGCCCCGGCGGCGGTGGCAGCGGCAGCAGGCTGGGTCGGAGCGCCAGGCACAGGCGGGCAGGCAGGCGGGGGGCGGCCCCGGGCGGGCCCAGGATGACGGGGCCTCCTGGCCCTGCCTTGTCGCCCCGGAGGCGGGGTGTGTGTGCGCGCGTGTGGGCCCTCCCCAGGCCGACTACCCGCAGCTGTCACTGTCACCTCCGGAGCCCCTCATCTCTGCCCTTCGCCGGCTGCTTCGTGTCTCTGTGTCCATCCACTCCTTTGGACCTTCCTCCATCTCTCCTAAACGTGTCTTTTTTCTTCTTTCTCTGCCATTCTCTCTGTCTAAGCACGTCTGTCTTTTTCCTCTTCGTGCTTGGAATTTTCTCATTCATGTCTCCTCACTCTTCCTTGTACCTTTGTCTCTTTCTCTAGCTCTCATTTTCATTTTGTGCATCTCTTACTCTGATTTTTTTCTACTTTTCTTGTCCTGTTTTGTTTTGTTTTACCTCATGTCTCTCAACTCTTGTCTCTCTTTCTACTCATTTCCTCTGTCTCTGCTCCTCTCTTTTGGCCCCTTCTTCCCCAACTCTCCCAGCCCAGGGGGCTCTCAGGCCTACCTCTGGGCTTCTCCTCTTTTCCATTATAAGGAGCGGGGGGGGACTGGGGCATCACAGAGGTGGGGCTACCCCCAGGAGAAGGGGCAGGACAGGAGGGTGGGGGAAACAGGTCAGGGCCTGTGGGAGCTGGGGCCCAGAAAAAGTCATTTAACCAAGTGCAAAGGTGCTTCTCTACTTGGCCTTTGAGACTTGGGCTCTCTCAAGCCTCCCAGACCTCCTGGTCCCCCAGGGTGGGAATCCAGCTGGTGCATAAGCACTTACTGGCTGTGTGTCCTCGACCCAATGACTTCCCCTCTCTGAGCCACGTGGGCTGATTTCATCATCTGTTATCAATGAGATCTCTCTTAGTCGCTCTCCTCTGGCCCCTACCAGAGACGTAGAAGCAGGTGGGGAAGGCCCAGGTGCTGATGGCAGCCAGGCCCGGCTCTTCCTCTCCCTATCAGGATGTGACTTGGGGACAGGGACGAGGGACTCCACCCTTGTGAGGCTCAGTTGTTGTTATGTGCCATTGAGTTGTTTGCGACTCATAGCGACCCCTATGCACAACAGCCCTAAACCCTGCTCTATCCTGCGCCAACCACACTGCCTCCGACACACCCATCCCGATTACCCCAGTCACAGAATCAATCCATCTCATAGAGGGTCTTCCCCTCCTGCACCGTCCCTCCCCCCTCCCAAGCATGACGTCCCTCTCCAAGGACCCGTCCCTCCTGGCAACATGTCCAAAGTATGTCAGATGAAGCCCCAGAATCCTTGCCTCCAAGGAGTTGCTTGGTTTAATCCTCTCCAAGATGAATCTGTTTGTTTTCCTGGCAGTCCATGGTACATTCAGTACTCAGTTACTCCACCTGAAATGGAGCGAAATGGGGGTGGCAAGCCTGCCTGGTGGGATTGGGGTGAGGATCCCAGAAGATGCTCAAAGCGAAGAATCAAGGAGATGTTCCTATTAGGATCCTAGCTCGAATTCCACTGATTTCACTTCTGCTGCCATTTGCCCATCCCCATGTCCCATTCTGGGAGAGGGGTGAGAAGAGTAGCAAAATCTCTCTTGCTTCCAAAGGCTACCCTGCAAACCTTCATCCTCGAAGATCTGTGAGAACAAGTCTACATACTGCATGAAATAGAATGCATGTCCAACTACCAAACGTACTGCCAAGCGAGTTGATGCCAAGTCACGTTCAACTCAACTCGTTGCCATGGAGTCAGACCCAGCTCACAGCCGACCCTCCAGCAGGTGTTTGAGAGGCTGTAAATTGCATAGAGATGGCCCACCTTTCTCCTGAGGAGCTGGTGGTGGATTTGAACTGGGGAAGGCACTGTTCCTGGGTTAGCAGGGTAGCTCCCTACAGGCTTTGCCACCAGAGCTCTGCCTCACCATGGCCATGTAAGACCAAGGAGAATTCTTTCATAGGTTCAGAGGCTGTGGAACTTTATGGAAGCAGATTTCTACATCCTTTTCCCGAGAGGCAGCTGGTGGGTTCGAACCTCTGACCTTTCAGGTAGACTCTGAGCATCTTAGTCACACATCGCACCCCTTAGGCTGCCTTTCTTTGACTACTCAAGTCCAATTGCCGTTCTGGTGGCCCAGTGGCAAGACACTGCGCTGCAATCCCAAAGACACAAAGTTTGAGGCCATCAGCTGCTCCCTGGGAGAAAGACGGACACACTCTTCCCATGTGATTAACTGTCTCTGAAAACCCCCCAGAGGGTCACGTATGGGTCGGCTCCTAGTCTAAGGTCCACCACCACAACGACGTTTGAAAGAATGGTATGTTTTATAGACATTTAATTAAATGGTCATGAATTATTGTTGTTTAGAAGCTAATACTTCCCCCCCCCCTTCTCCCTCTTTTAGACCTTCCATTGGTCCTTAAAAGGCTAATCAACTTGAGGGCCTGTTTTTGTAAAATTGATTAGAAATTTTGGAGGAAAAATGACTCATAATTTTATCATAGGCTTTTTCTATTCCACTTTTATGTGACCCTGTGAGACCCTCTCACCCTCTTTGATCTCCAATCTTATAACATGTAGGTACTGGAACTCGTAAGCCCTCCATCCATTTTCAACCATCGTTGTTGTTGTTAAGTACCATCAAGTCTTGATGACTCACAGCAACCCTATGAACGAAAGACCTGAACACTTGTATAAATTTCATTGTTTCTCGAAGTCCATAGGGTTTCCCGAGGCAAGCTATTTCAGAAGTGGATGCCACTCCAAGCTTGTTTTAATTGGGAATCTCCACCAAACACTGCCCCCCATGGATAACCATTACTGCATTTGACACATCAGTGTCACAGTGTTCAGCAACACAGCAACCATGAGTTACCTCTGTACAGCAAATGGACAGACCAGTGCTATACCACCTAGAAGAATGTTTGACCAAAACAATTAAAATAGGCCTGAGGGACGCAGACTAAAATCACCCACTATAAGAACATCAAATAAACAGGCATACCCCCTCTTCCAGTTAGATTTATTCCAGATAGTCACCCTCCTCCCAACCCTGGGTCTCAGAAGGGCCAACTGAAGTTGGAGTTCCAGGAAGAAGGCTCCCACATTGAGAACAGTGTCTGTTGTGGATAATGATTGAGGTGGTTTGAGGGTCGGAGTGGCCCCACAAGGTGACAGTGGAAGCAGAAGGAACATATCAGTTTCTCCTGATGATCTTCTGAATCCAGTCAGTATATTTGCAAATCTTGGTGTAGACTCCTGGGATGCCTTTTTGCCCACAAGGTCCTACAGACCCCCAAGACACTAGACCCTGAAGGACTCCCCCACAAACCAGGGGGCCCCCAGAGTCACCCTGGAGAGAAGAAGGAGAAGAAGCATTTTGTGAATCTAGGAAATGTCTTATTCCTACTTTCCTCTCCCCTAGTCCACCAACCCATTCTGGGCCTTGAAAACAGAGGCTGAAGCCTGGATAACCTGGAGGTTATCTGGAGTGAAAGACACAGCAGGATTCTGGGGCGAATGGCAGGAATGCTGATCGATTGAGAAGAAAGCAGCATATCTAGGGGCCTGGGAAAGAGAGCAGATACTTCATGAAGAGGGTTGCCTTCAAGACAGTGGCTGGACGGGTGGCCAATGAGAGAGGAGAACACTATCTCTAATGACCAATCCGAGGGAAGGAAGGTGGCAGTCCATTAAGTCGAGGAGTCTCTTAAGGACAATGACTGGCACCTTGCCTAATAAGAATCCCAGGGAGGAAGGGTGTGACTCTATAAAAGGCAAAGGATTGTTTAAGGACAGTAACTGGAGCACTGGCCAATGAGAGAAGAGAACACTATCACCAACGACCAATCCCAGGGAAGAGCAGAGAGTTCCTAAAGGACCTAGCTAATGAATGGAGAAAATATTATTCAATGACCAGTCCCGGGGAGGAAGCACGAATGGGCCACCTTCAAGGGTCGGGATCTCTCGCAATAGCCAGGCTTCTGACTAGTGAGATGGGTCAACTCAACTTAAAAAGGGCGAAGATTTGGAATTAGGGGCTGAGACGGTTCACTGATTCTCTTTACCACCATCATCCCTCACTTAGACTAGCACAAAGTGGAGGCTGGTCTAGAGAAGACTCGGAGTCCAAGATCAAGGATTTCCAACCTGAGTTCCAAGTCCTGGTTAATTCTTTGCCTTCCCTTTCTCCCTCCTTAGCCTTTCCCAGTCCTCTCTTTGTGCCTGTTCCCACTTGTTTCTCTCTCTCTCTCTCTCTCTGTATCTTTCTGGCCTCATCCCTCCCTTTCTGTTTCTGACTCCTCTGTCTTCCCAATTCTGCTCTTCTTTCTTCCCCCCTCCTTCCTTAATCCCTTCACCTTTTCTATTTACTGATTTCCTTCTTGTTGTCTCTCTCCATTCTCTCTCTCCTCTCTTCTTCCTCTTTCTCTTCTCTCCCCTCTCCTCCTGTCTTTCCCTCTCTCTCTCCCCCCAATCTTTCTTTTCTCTCCTCTTTCTCTACCTCCATCTCCTCTCCTCCTCCTCCTCTTCCTTCTTCTTCTTCTCATCTCCTCTCTCTCTCTCTCTGAATCTGGCCTCATCCCTCCCTCACTCTCCATCTCTGGCTCCTCTGTCCTCCCCATCCTGTTCTTCTCTTCCCCTCCTCCTTTAATCTCTTCGCCCTCTCTTCTCTGTCCTCTGCAGTGACCTTGTATACACACACCTGGCAGGCATCTTCCCCTTCGATGCCACCGGCACACACCATGTTGCTTGTGATCCTTCCATGGAATACTTTCTGGCAGGAAGTATCAGAGACAATGGAGAGGTTGAGGCACTGGAGCCGGTCTGGAAATGGGTCTAGGAGGTGGAAAGTCAGTTTTGCAAAGAGTTACAGAGCTCTCCACTTTGGGGGCCACGTGCCTGCTCACAGGAAGCCAAGCTCCTGACCCACAGCTCCAAGCCAATACCACCAGCCCCTTAGTGACCTCCAACCCAAACATTTAAATAAAACCTTTACATTTTTATGACTTGATATCATGGTCTCCCTGACTTTATATCTCACAGCTCTTCTATCTTCCAACTTCTGATGCTATGAATCCAGACCGACTTTCTCACGCCATCCCAGACACCATGACCTTTGACCTCCCACCTCATTCTCCTTCCATCCTAACTTGACCGCCTGTCTTCACTGTCTCCTGACCCCAAGTTCCTTGACTTAACCTTGACCTCCCAGCTCAGCTCTGTATCCTCTAAACCTTTAATTCCTTGCCTCCCAACTCCACAGTGACCTCGTCTAATACAGGCCATGGTCTTCGCAATCACTTGTTATGCATCAGAGAGTTGGACAATGACCAAGGAGGATAGAAAGAGAATTGATGCCTTTGAGCTGTGGTGCTGGAGAAGAGTATTGAGAATACCATGGACTGCTAGGAAAACACACAGATTCATCCTGGAAAGGGTTAAACTGGGTAGCTCCTTGGAGGCAAGGATTCTGAGGCTCCGTCTAACATACTTTGGACATGTTGTGAGGAGGGACCAGTCCTTGGAGAAGGACATTATGCTTGGGAGGGTGGAGGGACAGCGCAGGAGAGGAAGGCCCTCTATGAGGTGCATTGATTCAGTGATTGGGGTAATCGGGATGGGTGTGTCAGAGACAGTGCGATTGGCACAGGACAGAGCAGAGTTCAGGGCTGTTGTACATAGGGTCGCTATGAGTCGCAAGCGACTCGATGGCACATAACAACAACAACAACATACCCCATACGGGAAGCAGGAGTGGAATCCACTTCCTAAATAACATGCCTCCGGAAACTATGAAGTTTGATAAGTGTCAATAGCTGTAGAGGGGCATCAAGCCTTTTGCTTATAGGGTCGCTATGAGTCATGCTCAACTCAAAGGCAATCAACAACAACAACAACAACACCACAACCCTTACGCTTTTATTCTAGATCCCCCAAAGTCCACGACTTCTGACCCCAGATATGTGATCCTTGACTGAATTTCAAATAACCTGCTCAGTTCATCTGGATTCCATGAGCTCAACCTTAGAAGGACTTCTACTATCAGAACTCATGACTCAAGGCCCCTTCTCAACTTCCCTAGATTGTATCTATCCCTTGTTTCTGATCAGGCAACCCGTAATATCACTCTGGCCTCACCACATTCATGACCCCTGACTTCTGATCCAATCCCTTGACCCCTTTAACTCCCAGACCCCTGGACCACCATGATCTCTCACTCCAGTCTGAACCAACCCTCATGCTTGTTCAACACCTTGGCCCTTTACCTACCCTTCTTTGAACCTCTTTCATATCACACCCTAAATGTGTTTACTGACGCCTCAGCCCAGGCATTCCTTACTCCATGGGTGATTGGTGGTGCCCCAGCCTGAGATGTGGCACTCGGTACCGGCAGCTGCACAGGTGCTGGGCAGAGGCAGGGTGTGGACGCTGTTGGTCAGGCGGACGGGCAGGCCCAGCCGCAGAAGCCGGAGGTCATGGTCATGGTTCTGCAGGGCTCCCTGGTAGCTGGGATGGGTCACGGAGAAGCCACTGCGCCGGATCTGCTCTGTGTAATCCAGCCGGCTGAGGCTGTGCTCTCCCAAGCGTACCCAGTACCTTCTGAGGGGGTCACAGTGACTCATCAGATGGTGGGGGGCAGCCACCCAGGTTTTCACCCAGCTGGCTGTACCCTCAGACCCCCACTGGCCCCCTCTGCTTCCTGTGTCTCAATCACTATCCCCTCCCTCATTTTTTCTGTCTCTGAGTGTCTCTTGCAATCTCTCAGTCTCTATCTTCCCCCTCTAGGTGTCCACCCACCTCTCCTTCTGCAACCTGACCCTCACGCAGCATACCCAAGCCTCTTCTTTTTCTATTAACTGTGAGTCCACGAGGGAAGGGACATCTACGTGCTTTGTTCCTCACTGGATTCCCAGAACCTAGACCTCCTGGCACAGAGAAAATGTTGTCAACCAACACTGTTGACTTAATAAAACAGGTGAATAATGAAAGGACTTTCTTTGTCGCGTCCTTGTATCTCTCTGTTCCTTGTACCTGAGCTCCTCTTTCTCAGACACGCCAGAAAAATCGAGATCACAGGCCTGAGAAAATAAGGAAGAGCCACGCTCTGCATTATACAGACGGGGCCACTGAGCCCCAGAATGGCGCCGGATTTAGCCTTTAAGGTTGTACAGTTTCAGTCAGATGGGTCCGTGTGGGTTCAGGATCTACACTGGGCCCAGGGATGGCTGAGATGGTGAGTGAGACCATTCAGGAAATAAACGAGATGGGAGAGGATAGTGGAGGTCTCAAAATCTTCCTCTCTTCTTCCCCTGCCCCCCCCCCCATTTCATCCTGCCCCACCCACGGCCGCTCTTGAGAAGATTGTATTTCCTGTTCAACCTCACGCTCTCTTGTCAGCCTCTTATGCTCTGGTATTTGGCTTCCTTGAGACTTTAATCCCAGCAATTCTCTCCAAAGATCCTCCCTTCTCTGACCCCCCCACCCCCCCAGGAAGAGACTCAGGGTGGACTTACCTGCCACTGCAGTGAGCTGCTGTGATGACCCACCTGGGGTCAATGAGGACACCCCCGCAACGCAGTTTGGTGCCTTCAAACAACCCCACCTGCCAAGGCTGTGAGTTAGGGATACATTCTGTCCCGTTGTAAATCTTTGACGCTTCGCCAAGTCCTGGGGGACAAGCCAGAAAGATGGGAGTCAGAGAGAGAGGGTGTGGATCTGAGATAGAAAGAGAGAGAGAGAGAGAGAGAGAGAGAGAGAGAGAGAACAGATGGAGAAGATCAGGCAACATTCAGACAGAAAAAGAGAGGAGAAAGCGAGAACCAAGGAACAGTGGAAATACAGAGACGGAAATAGGCAACAGAAAGAGAAAAAGACAGCAGCAAAGATGGAGAGAGAGAGAATAGACAAGAGAAGGACGCATAGAGAGATCCAGTGATGTCTTTACACAGCAAAACAGCAAGGAAGACAGAGAAAAAGAATCAGAGATACAGATGCTTGACCATAGGTAGGAAATAGATCAAAGGCATGGAGGAGAGAGAGAGAGAAGGAGAGGAGAGGAGAGGAGAGGAGAGGAGAGAGAAGAGAGAGAAGGAGAAAGAGATATAAAGAGACAGAGATAATAAAGAGACAGAGATAAGCATGACCCCAAGGGTTAGAGGCAGAGTGACCCCCCCCCACACCTCCTCTCTTCCTCAATACCAGGCTGGAATCCAGAGCTGAGATGGGGAGATGGGATCTTCTTGCAGGACAAAGCCCCAGTTCCCTGGAGGAACTCACCCATAAGACACAGAAGCAAAAAGATGCTGTGCCCCATGGTGGGGCCACCACCACGTTCTGCAGAAAAGGTGGGAGTTCTCAGAAGATGACCTTTCCCTGTCAGCCCACCTCCCCTTTTCCCCCATCCCTCCCCCTTCTGTCCTGCACTCTTCACTTGCAGGGGAGTCCATCCCCTCCTCCTCCTCCTCCTCCTCCATTCCCATGCATTACTGTCCCCCTCCCCTGGGGGACTTGATGTCCCCTCCTCACCTTGTCCCTTTGTCTGCTGGATCTCCGAGGTGGGTGTCAAAGTTCTGCCTGTCTCTGCTGCTATCTGCCTGTCCACCTGAAGGTCAGCCGTTTGCTATCTCTGAGGACACCTACTTGCTACTTGCTTGTCCTTGTGTCTGCTGGCCACCTGGTCCGTCAACTCCCCCACTGTCCACCTGGCTCCTTGGCTTATGCTGCCCCACCTGTCCTCTTCCTTCTGTCTGCCCCACACTGGACACCATCCAAGCCTCTAGCTCTCTTTTGTTCCAGCCCCGTCCAATTTCCTGGTTGAGGGAAGGGGACAAGGAAGGGGAGGGTGGGGTGGGTCTCCTCTAATCCTCCAGAGGCTCTTGTCAACCTAATGACACTTAATTGAGTTTCAGGGCTCAGTGGAGTGGGGAGGGAGGCACGGAAGGGGGCCCAGGTTAACTCGGGAGGGAAGACGCAGCCTCCTTTTCTTTCCCTTCCTCTCCAAACCAGCCAGCCCTTCTGGACGATGATGATTCAAGATGACAGAGGAAGTGAGTTCTAATCCTGGTTTCAGTGAGGTAGGCTCAGGAAGGGTGGGGAGCAGGGACAGCTGGGGCCTGATCCCACGGAGGTCGCTGGAGGGACACAGAGGTTGAGAAAGCAGGAAAGGGCTGGAGGCTGGAAATTGAAAAATCTTGGGGGGGGCGGGGCAGGCAGCGAGAAAGAGAGAAACAGAGACAGAGCTCATTGAGCGACCACAGATTTCCAGACGGGGTTCTGTGGAAGCGTTATTCTAAATGAATTTTTGAAATGTGCACTCAACTCTTTCTGGTTTTCCCAACATCCTCTCAATTGATAATTAATTAAACAATAGAGATGAAATGCATAGCATGGCCTGATTATCCTTTTATGAAAAAAAAATTGTTAATTTGAGTGAATAATTACAGAGCAAATTGGTTTCCCATTCAACCATTCATACACATTTTGCTTATGAAGTTTACTACAATAACTTAAGTTGAATGAGAGAGGTAGGGAACAAAACTCAACCCTTGATAATCTTGGAGAGCCCTTGGCTTCCCTGATTGCAGGAAATGCCAAGAGCCAAGCCGAAACTGTTGCAGAAGTAAATCTCTGCGGAATTTCTGCAGAAGTCAAATGTTGTGGACTAGAACTGCTCCGAACGGTTTTCTTGGCTGTGGTATTTATGGACCCACGTCTTGCTTCTGTGATGTCACTGGGTGAGTTTGAACCATAAACCTTTTGCAGCAAAGTGCAAACCTTAGGCCAAGTGTGCCATTTAAGGGACCTTGCTTAAGAGTTCCTCTTTCGACCCCCAGGCTGTTTGCCAGTTTGTAGTTTCTGGTTAAAATCAGCCCCTTCATTTTGCAATTAGAGTGAGATTCAGCGAAGGACAAGACTGATTGATAGCCATACCATTTCTGCCTTCAGAAAAACGCCTCTTGCAGCCTCCCCCAGAGACTGCCCCAGAATTCATGAGCCTCAACACCTCAGGTCTTCACTTGCTGGGACTCATAATAAGCTCGGTTATAAAGTCTGTTGCCTAGAAACAACCCGACCACCCCAATGATTGAGGTGAATGTGTACAGCACACAGAGACCCTCACGGGTGTGGAGCGGAGACAACTGAGACGCAGCCATCCTTGTGGTAAGTAGCAGAACCAGGATCTTAATCAGGTAGGCAGGCTCCAAAACCTCCATCCTTAGTAATTCATTACCCAAACATACGCATGAATACACAAATGACTAAAGGAATTCATATGTACACACGTGAATGGAGGAAGCCACGAAGCCTCCTACAGGTTTTTAAAAAAACAACAAAAGATGACGACTCTGGGATTATACAAGCCACGGTTTCATCTCTCCTGAGACCAGAAGAACTAGGAGGTGTCTGGCCGCCATTACAGACTATTCCCATGCAGGACGCGTTAATTAGTCCCGGATAGAATGGGAGAAAATTGAAAACCAAAGCTTAAATTCTGAAGGAAAGAAAAAAGGCAGCCTATCCTTACCAGACCAATAAAGACTAACAATAAGATTATTCTTCTGGGATGTTCTTTAAACTGAAATGACTCCCAGAGGTCATCTTTCAACTAAATACTAGATTATTCATAAAATAAACATTATCACCCAGCGGTACAGTGCTCCTCAAAAACAAAAAACCAAACCAAACCAAAAAAAACCAACAACACGCAAAAGCCAAAAAACAACACAACAACCCCCCCCAAAAAAAAAACCCAACAAACATTGTATGAGACCAAAGGGTCAATATTTATTAAAAAAAATATGAAAAGGTGGAGGAAGAGATGAATAGTCAGAATGGAAATAATGAGAGTGTAAAACAGCCCCATCTACATATATAAATTGTTAAATGGGAAGCTAATTAGCCATATAAACTTCTAGCTAAACCCTAATAACATATTCAAAGACAAAGAAGACAATGACTTTGGAATTCTACAGATGTGGGCTGTTACATCCAATCCCATGGCCTTAAATCTCTCATTTGACCTCCATTGGCCCAAGTGAATCATGGGGCTGGAAGAGGCTAACGTTTGCACACGGCTTCCTAAAGTTTACACATGGCATCCTAAAGTTTGCACACGGCTTCCTAAAGTTTGCACACGGCTTCCTCTTGGAACCTCAATCAGTGCAACAAAAGGGAGACGGGAAACATCAGATGAGTGAAGTGTACAAACGTACTTATCAAGTCAACTTCTACTCATAGCAACCTTGTAGGATAGAGTCAAACTCCTCCCCTAGAGTCTAGAGTGTAAATCTTTATGGAAGCAGATGATTTCATTAGTTTCCCCCCTGAGCAAAGACTCATAGGATCTAAACACTGATACTTTGGTTAACGATGGAGATTTTTTTTAACCACTGTGTTGCTATAAGGGCTTGTTTCCTTGACCCATTCCCAAGCCAAACTTCACTGTTATCAAGTTGATTTCAACACACAATGACTCCACAGGACAGAGTAGAACTGCTCGGTCCCCAAGGTTGTAAATTTTTAGGGGAGCAGACCAGTTTATTCTTTTTTCAAAGAAGGAATTTTTAGGGTGAGCTTAAATGACAGAATCTGTTTTTCCTTATATGAAGAAATATTCATTACCATTACATTTTGCCACCTTTTGTTTCTTTCATTTCTTTTTCTCTCTCTCATTCTCTGTTTATGTCTCTTTGATTCCCCAACAACCATTTCATGAGATGTCCCAAATGTGCACCTCTGAGTCATACTTTTGTTATTGTTGTTGTTGTGTACCATAGAGTTGGAACTGACCCATAGCTGACCCTCCAGCAGGTTTTCAGAGGCCCAAACTTCTCCCATGGAGCAGCTGGTGGATTTGAACTGCATGCCTTCGGGATTGCAGTGCAGCTTCTTGCCATTAGGTCAGGACTGCAGAATTTAATCAGAAGCAGCGAAGTCTCCCCTCTAGTTACCAGCTTGCTTACCTCTAATTCTTCTCAGCAATAACTTCTCGGTGGAAATCGCCTTCCTGCCTCCACTCTTTCCCCTCCTCCATCTCTTCAGAACATTCCTTTTGAGATTCCGTTGCCCACACTGCCCGGTCACAGTCTTGTTTGGGTCTCCAGATATTGCGTTCCACATTGCCCAACACAACGGTCACCTCTTTGTATTCACCTTGCTCAACTTCTCACCTCCATTCGGCTGGTCACTCCCTCTTTCTGGAAACACACTCCTCTTCTGCTTCCAAGGCACCATGCTTTTCTGGTTTCCCCTCCTACTTCCCTGTCTCCGTCTCATGAATAGGGCTTCTTTTCTGCACTGACCTCTTAAAAACATGGGTGTTCCCCGGGCCTCACCCCACTCCTCGTTCTCCTCACTCCACAAGTTCTCCTTGAGTGAGTTCATGCACCTTGGCTTGTCTCATCTCTCCTTCATGACAGGATGACTCTTAAAAGCATTTTTAAACTTGTGATATGGGTGAAAGTTTACAAGACAATTTGGTTGACAAGTTCATACTAGGTTTCGTGACACAGGTTGCAATCTTCACGTTGCAACAACACTCTTCCCAGCTGCTCCCTGTATGTGCCCTTTCCAGTCTTTTCCTAACTTTTCCTGACTGCTGAGCTTCTGAGGGAAATGCTGCCCGTTTGATCTTGTATGATTGATTGTTGTAAGGAGCACGTTACTCTCTGGTTTTTTTGATTACCCTATAGAAAGCTGAGATATGGGAGTGAGTTCAGCTCAAGGCTTGAAAGATATCTAATGGTCATAGTCTTGGAGGTTCCAGTAAGCTATGCTTTAAAAAAATATTTTTAGCTTTGCTTCATATTTCCCTTCTATTCTAATCACAATCTAATTGTGATTCCTTTCAAAGCTGTCTATCATGCTGGTTGGGCACTATCTAGTTCCTCTTGTCTCAGGGAGCTGGATGGCTTTTAAGTCTCTCTCTCTCTGTCCTCCCCCCACCTCTCTTCCTCCCATCTCTGTTTTCTTTCTCATTCCTCCTGGTCTCTCTTTTCTCCTTCTTTCTCTCTTTCTCCTCCTTCCTTCCTTCCCCCTCTGATCTCTCTCTTTCTTCTCTCTTGATTTCTCACTCTCTCCAACCCAAGCCATTCTCTCAAATATTATCCTTGTAAATTCAACAGTCTCCTGGAGGACTAAAAAATGACCTCTAGCTTTTTCCTCACAAACCTATCCTCAGCCATCACAGACTTTCTTTTCAGTTTGCTCAGATGTGAGGGAAATGGATAAGAAGGGGAGGCAAGGTTTAAATGCTGTCGGTAGTATAATGTCAAGAACAGACTTAAAATAATAATAATAATTAAAAAAAGAACAGACTTAGTCATACCCTGAATGAACCTAGAAAACACTATGCTGAGTTAAAAAAGTCAGTGCTAAGAGGACTAACACCATATGATCTCACTTAGATGAAGTTCTGTCGCATAGCAATCCTGTGGGACATAGCAAAAAACTGCCTATAGCATTTCCAAGATTG